GCATGCTAGGATCATTCCCAGAGGAGTATTAAATCACACAGAGACCGATCTATTCAATGGTCTCATCCCCCAATGCATCATATTTGGAATGGTGCGAAACGATGCTTACAATGGAAACTTGGGGAGGAACCCATTCAACTTCCAGCTGTTTGATCTGAATGCTGTTCGTCTAACAGTCAATGGAGAAGAAATGCCTTACTCAGGCATCGGCTTGATAGGTTGCAAGAAAATTGATGGCTACAATACACTTTTCTCAGACAGTGGTGATATGAACTGTGGTCATGGTACAGACATTGACAGAGAAGAATGGGAGCAGGGTTAGGGTTTATTTCGCTTGGACACAACACCACCAGGAAGTGGCCGTCCGGATCATTTGATTCCTAATCGCAGCGGAAATGTCAGCTTGTATTTAAAATTTGGCATTGAGACCCCTGCAGTTCTCAATTTAATTGTGTACGCAGAATTCCAGAATCAGTTGGAAATTGATCGTAACAGACGTGTGGTGTACGACCTGTCACAGGGCGCTTAAAGACAAAACGATGCATACCACCTTTGAGCCATGGCAAGCGGCACTACAAGACCCCATTTTAGCTCCCGTTATGCAAGGTGTCTTCCCAAGAGACAAGTTACCTATCGTTAACAAGTATCCTTCGGGGCTGATCGCAAATGCGGACCCTCATGATCAGCCTGGGACACATTGGGTGGCCATGTACTTTATTTCTCCGTGGGAAAGTGAATTCTTTGACAGTTACGGGTTTCCTCCCGATACCTATGGCATGGATGGATACATAGAGCGAGATGTTACGCGTTACAACAACAAACCATTCCAGGGACTTACTTCAGACACTTGTGGAGACTATTGTTTATTTTATTTATTTCATCGAGCACGCAATGTTGATATGGACGCTATTCAAGCTAAATTTAGGTCGCACGATACACAGTGGAATGATGCACAAATAGCCACATTTGTTCACAGCTATGTAAAATCGTTGACAAGTGTTAGGCAGAGGTCACCATTCTTTCAGAGTGAACAAAATTGTAAGTCATTCAAATGTTGGCGTAAGGAATCAATAAAGTGTTGTTTAAAATGAACATGATGTGTTTATTTTGTATTGGACTTGGGATACACCCCTATAAAGAGAAAGGCACCAGTAACTTTGGCATCAGTTGTTTTTTCGTTCTATGAGGGCAGCATGGCTCAGTTCAAATGCCCGAGCAGTGTAATGATCGCAGGGCCGAGTCAGTGTGGAAAGACGAAGCAAATCATAGAGTCTCCTTTACCAGAAGACCAAAAAGTCTTCATGTTGGATCAACTTCTACAGCGGTATCAAGGACTGACAAAACAAATGAAAACGGAGTCGGCATAAAAACCGACTGTGGTCCTTCCCAAACCAGATCCTTTGCCTGCTACAGAGACATCCGGCAAAACAGATGAAAGTACACCCGCAGTTGCGTCCAGGAAAGAGACCTCAATGCATCTTAATCAAAGTCTACAAAAATACCAAGAAAACTACCTGCGACACCTGTGACTACAGTGGAATCGTAAATTCCTCGCCGAATAGAAACGATCCCTTCTCTTTCACCTGAGGAAATGGCACTCCCTTTGTTGTTGGATACCCCGCCTGATTCAACATGCAAATCATCTAATAAAAGGAAAGCGAAAACACCCGTGGTGGCCAGGTTACGGAACAGGAAACGATGGGAGCATTATTAAACTAAACATTATTTATGTAATAGGTTGATAAACTACAAGTATCCTTTTGTTACAGTTCCTGTGAATTCAATAAAACGCTTGATAGTGTATGAAAAATGGTATTTATGTGAAGCAACAAGCCTTCATTCCCGATGGACTATAGTAACAATGAGATGGACCAACTACTACAAGCGATAGACACTTCCAAGGTTCCAGGGTATCAAGAGTTTATGCGTGACCTCATTGTAGAAGACATCTCCAATCACGATCTGAACTTTGAAACGTTAAACTCGTTCTTATTTGAATGGAACAAACAAGTATATGACGCTGTTTGTGAAAAAGCTATTTCTCACTATGACACGTATGCGACAGAAAAGATAAAGTCCTTATCGAATTGAACATGTCTAGGCAATGATGCGCACTCTTTTACAGATTAGAAAGAAACAGATTGAAGACCTGAAACAACGTATTCGAACCAAGAAGAGAGAAACAGAGAAGACTATCATTTACAATAATACCATCTGAGACTTTGATTTGTTGTGTGCCCATTGCCAAAGATATCTTAAAACTCTGTAAACCTGGAATGTAAACTTGTGATTTGCAATGTAATAAAATGATGTGATTTGCAATGTAATAAAATGATGTGACTATTTGTCTGTCTTTTTTACTCTAACATGAGATCATTATAGTATCATGTGGGGCTGATGTCAGGTTGATGGTAGGTTGATGTCAGGTTGATGGTAGGTTGATGTTGGGTTGATGGTAGGTTGATGGTGGGATGATGATAGGTTGATGGTAGGTTGATGATAGGTTGATGGTAGGTTGATGATAGGTTGATGATAGGTTGATGATAGGTTGATGATAGGTTGATGGACAGTCCTCGTCTTCTAACATGAGATCCGTCATCAAAAAACGTTTTCAAACGTTTTCTCTTAATGCGCATGCGTAGTACGCTGCGCATGCGCAGTGCGAAGGGGACAAAAATTCTCTCCCACACTCTCACACCTTCGTACACCAATATAAGGTCCGCTCACCCATAGTCTATATAACGACTTATACTATAACATGAAATCGGCCATCTTGAATTTCTAATGAGCGACGGACAACATGGCTGAGAGGGAAATCATTTACACCTCATCTTCCTACATGACCTGCATAAATTTCGTCACCACTATATGACGGACCCGGCTGAATATGCCGCGAATACTACTAACGTTTTCATGAGCTCTTGAGCGAAGATTTTTGGTCGCTTAGCAGGATCGAGCAACAGGTGAACTCTACATATACCTACATTGTATAAGAGGTCTGAACGTATTTTACATGCAATTTCTAAGTTACGTGGTGCGATGTGTGTAGCCTCATGCTAGACTACGAGCAGTCTTTCTTTTTTCTTGGTCCGTCGAGCAAAACGCGCGTGACACGCAAATAACCACGCGCGTGACTGAAGGCGCGAGACGTGGGCTGGACGCTCGTGCGCGCGTGAACTCCCCTCATTAAATCTGAAGAGCTAACAAAATTTTTCAAAAGCGAACTGTTTTCGTGCTTAAAGAAAGTTGATCACGTAATCAACTAATGCAAAAGGCCTATTTTTGGTGTGTTCGATCTGTGTTCGCTTATGAGAGATGGCGCGTACGAGAGGTGGTCGCACATGCAGATTCGACTGTAATTATGCAATGTTGAACTTGTTTTTGACAGTATCCTCCCAGCCAGTTGGCCCTGAAGCAAACTATATCAATTCATCAGCGCTGCTGGTCAAGTGGCAGCCTCCATTGTACCCAAATGGGCACATTACTAAGTACATTGTGAAGTATGACTTGAGCGATTACTCGCCGTGGAAGCAAGTCTTGAACTGGTGTAATCGGCAGATTTTAACAGGTGCTGAAAGTAATGTAGACAATGAGCAAGATGACGATAAAAACCCCGACGGTAAGACTAGCTAGAGAATTATTGAAAGTAGTGTATTTTAGCACCATTACTTTTGTATGGAAGTAGTTCCCCGGTAACTCGAGCTCTGAAGGGAAAAGCAAAACAGTTAGAATTAGCGAGGTCGATTGAATCTTCAACTTGCCATGTTAAT